TATAATACTCTTTTTATTATGTAATAGTTAAAATATTAAATGTTTATTAATATTAATTAAATAAATTATTATAAAATTAAAAATTACAATTAAAACTCTCTTTTTATTTTTCTCACTATATTGTTCATCATTAGAGATGAACATATTTTGTTTAATTCTAAATTACTTGATATTTAAAATTATTCTTTTAATTAATACAATTAAAAATTTGGTTAACTGAAATATTTCACTCTAGTTAACAATTATAAGTCAAAATATTTTTTTTACTAAAAAGATTAAAAGAATTTGGTTAATTGCATAAACCAATTAGTAAAAAAAAATCAAAATTTTAGTAATTAAAACTAAATTTTTGGATTATATTCAAGTATTAAAATAAAAATCATTAATCAAAAAAAAAAAAAAAAGAGATGGTGAGTTTTACTTACTGTTATTTTTTAATTTTAATATTTATTTAATTAAAATTAATAACTACTTGACATTTTAATTATTTTTCAGAAAAAAGTATTTTGAACCTTTTAAAAACTTAAATGTAATTATGAAGAATTTAATTAGAGCATTTCACTTATATAAAATTTAAATTTTAACTTGTACTTAATTTAAAAGAAATATTTAGTAGATCTACTTTAAAAGAATTTTTTTTACTTATTATAAATTAATGATTATAATTATTAACTAATAATGATTTCTATTGATTGTTGTTAATAATCCAATCAAATACACTAATATTATTTTCATGTTGTCTTAACCATTCTTTGTGGCCATAACCGCGGCCATGTAATTGAGCCACAGAGAAAAGGAGAATGCCTTGTCGGAATCCTTCTGCACATGGCTGCCCACCTCCTTGATAGTTGATGCTTTGTCGAACTCTGCCTGTCTTCTACAGTTCACCTATTAATTCCATTTCTCCCTCTTTCCTATTTTTCGAAGCATATGTCAATTCATGTGACAGAGCTGGAAGAATACAATATATAATATCTTGAGCAGAAGGTGTAAATTGCCTCTAATAGTTACCAAATTTGCATTAAAAAAAAAAGTTGAGGTAAATCAATACTTTAAGAACCCCACGCCCGGCCCAGTGGCCTTCACAGTGTAAGGGGATCTACTTCCTGGGGTGCGTGTTCAAAAGTCTACGGTCTCATTTTTCATTCTCCCTAATTGCCATGTTAAAAAAACAAAATCAATACTTATAATTTTATTTTAAATTAATAGATGGAAACTTAACAACTAATTTTAACATAGTTATTTTTCATTAAATCATTGTTTTTGGAGTCTAAAAAATTAATATCAATCATTAAATTTAAACTAATTTCTCTAAATAAAATTTTGAAATCACAATTTACTTTAACATTTTTGTTAAATGATAACTTGGTTCAACTAAAAAGATATTCTGAGGGAATTTGCTAATTTGGCCATCTATTTTATAGACTGCAGTTTTAGCTCTCAGAATTTTTCATGCCTGCATGCATCAGTACAAACATTTTGTGATTTCTTAATCAATAGTGATAGGAAACATGAGGAACGCGACCCACCCCTTTTTTAAGATGTAAAATGACCCTTGATTAGAAAAATAAATATGCAGTGTTATGACAACGTGATGATCAAAAACCATTTCTCAACTACTTTTTAATGCTCCTTAAATGGAGTTTGTAGTTTTAAATGTGCAGTGCATGAATGTTGAAGAAAAAATGGAGATTATAATTAAGAATTTAAATGTAACATGTAAAAAGTTTAAGTTTGAATTTTAAGGTAAATAAAAGCTGGTCTTTCAATTTTATAACTCTTAAGTCACCATCAAACGTTAAAAAAGAAAAAGAAAAAAAAAAAAAGGAAGAAAAGAAACTACTACTTTTAAGTAATTGTTATAACCATTTAATGCCACCTTGATGAAGGGAGAGTTTTTTGGAGCGAACTTTCATTTTTGGAGGGAAATATGATGACTCATTACATGAAAATAGTACTCATATAAAAATCTACATGTCATGGTACTTAATTCCACTCTTAGATTTTTTTGTATTGTATTTTATTTCAAAAAATAATTTTTTTTTATTTTTTATTAATTTAATTAATTTTGTATACATCTTTATTAATTTTAATTAATATTTTATATATTTTTAAAATAATGAAATGAAAGAAACCTATAATTATAACATAGACTTAAAAAATGAAGCCTCGGTTGCTTGAACTTGCTATTTCTCATAAATTTGTTAAAAATTTGAAGTTTTCAAAATAGAGAGAAAAAGGCTTTTTATAAAATATGTTCAGAATGCAAATTAAAATTTGAATGTTTATATAATTGGTAGAATGAGTTCAGAATTCAGAACTCTGACTTGAGAGATTTGGTTAACTTGATATTTATCTTTCATTTGCTTGGTGATCAAATCCGTTTGTCTTTTCCTAATTCTTTTTTGTTTTGGTTATAAGGTATTTGAGTGATGAAAAATGAGAAAGTTGGCAAGGGTGTGAAGATAAAGAAAAATCATCTAGAAGGATGACCTATCCAAACTTGTCCTATTAATTCAAAAGATAATGCCTCGTACAATTGATAGATAAAACACTTTCAATTAAAGTTGGACCTGCCTCACGAATAGCCGAGACGTATCATTCATCACTCCAAAGCATTAGTTAAAGTTACATAAATGTAGGAGTTTTATCGTTTGAAGACTCCTTGGTGAAGACAGAATGACTAAAGGTGTTGGTGATGTGGTTTGTTTTGAATTTTAATATTTTTTAAAAATTAATTTAATTTAATTAGTTAGTAAAATTTTCAAATCAATTCAATCCATTATTGTATAATAACTAATTTAATTTAATTTAAATTAAATTGGTGTGGTTTAACTGAATTTATCTGTTTTTAACACTATTAAATATATGAGAGATAATGTAAAAAATTTTAAAATTAATTAGAAAATATAACTATAAACTACATTAATATCCAAATTAGTAGAAACATAATTAAAAATGCATAAATTATAAACAACTTCTTACACTCTTTTACAATTGTAAAGATTGAAAAGATCTAAAAATTCCTCTTGGGTACATTACTAGAGACACCAAGAATAATTTAAATTGAATATTACTAGAATTGATTAGAAGCATTCATAATTTAGATTTAAAACTCTTCAACCAAACATCCGAGAATAACAAAATATCAAAACTAGTTCTATTATGAAGTTTTAAGATTTCTAAAATGATGTTTCTTTAAAACTTAACTATTGGAGTTGTGGTGTTCAAGCTGCCAAAGTAGCAGCAAATGAAAATGAAAGCTGCACAAAATGGCAGCAAAATGAAGAAGGGAGAGCTACACCAACAGCATGATAGTAGCAAAGTGTAGCAAGCTAAGCTGCAAATGTTGAGGAAATGAGGCTGAAATGAAATGTAAATGAAATGCAAATGCAAATGCAAAAGGAATGCAAAAGCAAATGAAATGAAAGGTTACAAAGAGGCTGCAAAGCTGCCAAAGCATGCAAGCTATAGCAAAAGTGGCTGTTACATATTCAAATTTCAAATGTAATTTTATTGCTTTTTAATGCAGAATAGTTGTTTGAATTTTGAATTGTTTTAAAAATTGAATTCTCCTATATATAAGAGAATTGGTTAATGAGAAAATTTGAGTTGGAGTGATATACTCCTCTCCATTTTATGTGTTCTTCTCTTCATCTTCTTCTCCCGAATTCTCTCCAATTTTCTCTGATAAAAAATATGAACATGGTATCATAGCCTTTCTAGATCTTTAAGGGCCTGTGTGAGAGAGATTTGAGAGAAATATACCACCATAAACTCCGGCCAAACCCAAATAGTTTCCAGCAAGTTTTTCTTTCAAAATACCCATTTTTCTAACCCAACACAACAAACTCCTCTAACCAAAAATGTAGCAAAGATGCTGTGATGATGAAGGTTAACTAATTAGATCCTTCAATATTTGAAAGTGGTTGACAAAAGGATGCAACCAATTTGTTAAGGCAAAAGAGATTATGTGAAGTTGTGAAGTTGAAGGTTAACTTGACGTCCTTCAATCTTCTTGAGGCAGAAGATCTGCAAGAAGTGAGAGCAAAAGATGCTAGTTTAATGATGTTTTATGTTGCTAGTATGGGTGGTGTTTTATGCTACAGCATTAGTCCAAAAAGGCAAGGATGGCTTGTGAAGATGTAGATTGGGACCAAGAGAGTACTCAACATTGCATCGAGTCATTTTTCATGACCGAGTAGCCAAAATCCTTAGCCCAAAGAAGCTGTAAAAGATGAAAAAAGATGATGAAGCAGCACTTTGAGGTACCAATTCCTTATTTTATTTACTCAGAAAATGCAACTTAGTTGCAAAACCTCCAAATTTTGTTTAAGGTAGCAAAATCCAAAGAAGAAAAGCTGTAATGAAAGAGGAGATGAGGTTGTTTGAGAAGGATGGTACATGGATGTGAAAAAAAAAAATGGTGAAAACCAAGCATAAGATGGATAACAAAGGGCTAATCCCAGGTGCTTATGCATAAATCAATTTTTGTTTTTGATTTTTGCAGCTTTAACACCAAGGAGGAGTGTTGGAGTTGTGGTGTTCAAGATGCTAAAGTAGCAACAAATGAAAATGAAAGTTGCACAAAATGGCAGCAAAATGAAGAAGGGAGAGCTGCACCAATAGCACGGTAGCAGCAAAGTGCAGCAAGCGAAGCTGCAAATGTTAAGGAAATGAGGCTAAAATGAAATGTAAACGAAATGCAAATGCAAATACAAATGAAATGAAAGGCTACAAAGAGGTTGCAGAGCTGCCAAAGGACGCAAGCTGCAGCAAAAGTGGTTGTTACATATTCAAATTTCAAATGTAATTTTATTGTTTTTTAATGTAGAATAGTTGTTTGAACTTTGAATTGTTTTAAAGATTGTATTCTCCTATATATAGGAGAATTGATTAATGAGAAAATTTGAGTTGGAGTGATATACTCCTCTCCATTTTATGTGTTCTACTCTTCATCTTCTTCTCCTAAAATTGTCTCCAATTGTATTTGATAAAAAAATATGAACATTGACAAGGAGAATGAGAATATCATTTTAGGAACAAATTAAAATTTTAGGGTTCTAAGAGTAAAGTCATAGAGAAGTTCTAAGCGGTAGAGTTGTAGGTGAAATAGAATTTTAGAATTTGGACTAGAGTACACGATTAAGGCTTAATTTGATAATGCTACCTTGTAAGTGTAGCTATATGTTTTTTAGTCCTTTAATATTATAAAAATATATAAAATATATTTGATATTTATTATAATTAACATTTTATATATTTTTAAAATAGTAAAAAGATATAAAAATCAAAAACTAAAAAATCGAGAAGTGTTGTCAAATGAAACGTAAAAAGGAAAAATAAATTAATAAAAATATAAGGATGTTATATTTTAATTTTTTTAATTAAGTTAATAGAGTTATTATCTTATGAAATAAGAGAAAGAAAAGTTAAAATACTACAAAAAAATATGTTATATTATTTAATTAAGTTATCTTATAATCAAGCAGTTAAAATGGTTTAAAGGTAAAACTATAAACCAAACCAATTATACCAGTTTTAAATTTTTATAATTGAAATCAACCCAATTTTATATCCATTCGGTTTGGTTTTTAATTGAATTGGGTCAATTTAGATCAAATCAATCGGATTTAATTAAATATGAATACTCCTAACAATGACATTTGACTAAAATAATAAAAACCCTTCATTAAATTTATGAGAATATACAATATGTAACCAAACAAGAATTTAATTTAAAATCAATTAATAATAAATGGACTAGCACATTTTATATTTAAATAAGATATTTTCAAAATTTTTCAATATGAGATTTTCCAACCTAAATGTCTTTCTCACATACATGCTCGGTATAAATATTGCATTCTGTTATGTGAATCTCAAATTATAGACTAAAGAAGATTAAACCAATTTAATCAAACAATTCCTTTTAATAGCCTTATACATAGACCCCTACCATTACTCCAGTAAAACTCTTTAGAAATCATATAATTAATCTAGCCACCACCATTTATTTACATTTTTTTGATAGAAAGTATAGTTGTATCAATAATTGAAACAATTACAATACAAACTATACCTTACCATATAGGTTGTACAAGAAATGTAAATAAGCTAGGAAGGATATGTTACTATATAGAGTTAAGTGTTCCTTACAAAGAAGACAATTTAGAATTGGGAACCTCTAAATACTAAAATGCGTCATAGGGGTATCAATAGAGTTATGTAACAACATAAAAAGATTACCCTAGAGCCTATTGTCATTATTGGGAATCACATCCATTTTACCATCCAAACCTAACACAAAATTTTAGGGACTTGGCAATGTGATGTCTCCCAACAACACAATGCTCTATCCAAACATAGTTGGTCTTTTAACTAGCAAATGGATGAAAGTTGTCTATCTGTATAGCAAGTGTAGTGCCCAAACCATTAAGTCTTACCTTGAAAGCCCTACCATTATTGAGCACTTCAAGAACCAACTTCTTTTCCTCCATGTTCATCATCTTGCTTGTTGATTGAACTAGATTCCTTTCAATCCTTTTCCATTTCTTCTCTAAACCACACTTCTATCACTTTATCAAATTGGTGATGTGACGAAAGGGTACATCTCCTACAAGGGATTCTAACTCCACTGACTCGAGGAATCACTAACCACATCTACTCTTTTACTTGAACTACCAACGTTTGTACTAGCAATTTGTTGCTCCTTACAGACCTACTGGGCATCATGGAGAAGCTGATTTCCATTTTATGACTCCCTTTCTAGTGGAGAAGTGGATTTCTACTCATTAGTCGGAGTAGTTGCTTTCAAGGATAACAATTTGCTATTAGACAAGACTAGTTCTTCAAAAGTTTCTAGCCCCTAAAAATCATTTTGTGCACATAGCCATGTTCTGTAGCAATGAGATACCTTTTCTCCAACTTCCTTTAATCTAAAGCTAATCTCATAATGAGCTTCCCCCCTTCTATTAGAGAAGTGGATTTCTACTCATTAGTTGAAATAGTTGCTTTCAAAGATAGCAACTTGTTATCAAATAGGACCAATTCTTCAATAGTTTTTGGCCCCCAAAAATCATTTTCTACATATAGCCCCCAAAAATCATCTTCAATAGTTTTTGTTATAAAACAGAACTCTAGCAGTCTTTCATACTTTATTCGAACTTGTTGAGTTTCTGTTGTAGAAATTTTAATATTCTTGAAACATCTCAACGAACTATTTCCTCAAGTTAAATTCAAACTCTTAAAACTTGGGTAAGAGCATCATCGACTTCAAGAACCTTGTCCATACTACTTCCAATCTACTAACTAGCTTCTTCATCACAAAGCCTGTAGGGTAGTCCAAACATTTTCACCTAGAAAGGAGATATTGGGAAATCATAATTTTCCAAGACTAAGGATTTATTAAAACATCTCAAAATAATCAATGAGCAATTAAAGTTCTAAGGTGATTTTTGTAGTATTATGCTGACATCATAGCTATTCAAAAATTGGAATAGGAAAATTCTCTCACTCAGCTCCTTAACCAACACACTAGAATCGGTTTTCCATGTTGATGCAATTGTGTTCTATAACCCTATGAGGTTAACTCTTTTATGGGTATGGATTTTCCCTATTAAATAGAGGGATTCAGATTCAATCAGCAAAGAATTCAAAGCATGTTCTAATGAAAGTTCTATTTTTTCCTCCTTGGATAGTTGGATTTGGCCTAAGAGATTAGTTCCCTAGTTTGGCAATTCAAGCTATAGGTTTGGAGTACCCCTTCTTTTGAACATCCTAAGAGCATGGTTTTGGCAGCCCTAGATTCGTTGGAGAGGAAAGCATTGGAGGTGGTAGCAGATCTAGGTGTGAGATTAGGATCTAGAGCTATGACATGCAAAGTTGATTGGTTGGCTTGATTCGTGATAGATTGTAGCAAAGAAAATCTTACGTTGTAACCGGTAGGAACTTGGGTGGTTGGCAGAATGTGCAAGGCTGTTAGGCTATTGGGCGGGGCTTGGGTGGTTAGGGACCAAGGGCTACCGATGAGGAGAAAGGATGAGGAAAGAGTTCTTGACTAGAGGGAAATCCTAAGAAAAGAGCCTAACCTAACCCTAACTAGGAGATGAAATTGTTCTATTTTGGAGTTTTTTTTTTATTATAATTTGAACAAGTCTATATAACTCATTTTCAAGCGAAACAAACTAAATTTTACACATCAATTTGTCTAAACAAGAAAAAAATAATGTATTCAAAATGATGAACTTTAATTTACTTTTTCTAATGTATTTAGTTGTGCGCATACATGAAAATTATCTTGCACATGAATATATGCATTTACGTTTACGTGTAAGCCATAGGGAGGGCGATAGAGATACATTAAGACATGAAGAAGGGATTGAGTAAAGATGAATCCCCACATGCATAAAGTGAAGAAGCTTCATGTGGTATGCTTGGACTCATTTAGGCAAGATCAACTAACCATCTCAATCATACAAACAATACTCAACTCTCATTCAAACCCTCTCTGATTGGCACATTATGCCTAACTTTATCAAGAACTCAACCCCACCAAAATCATTATATATGTATAGGCAAATCAATAGTAAGTTTGAGAATAATGATCAAACAAAAAATGGGATCAAACCCCTCTGTCCAATCAATTATATAGAAGCCATATTATGAAAGAGAATAACAATTTTCTAATATCCAAAAAATATCTCTTATAGATTGAGTGAACAAGAAACCAGTAATGGAGGTCCCATTTTGTAGGCCTATATCTATATACTTTTGATCTCTCAAATAAGGTTAAATGATAAAAGGGTGCAGGTCTGATCTTGAGTCCTAAGAAAAGTGGGTGTTGAGTGAAAAACCTACTTTCTTTTCCTTGGTGAAAGCAAGACATTAATCCCTAATGACTCTGCAGCTGCACACCTTTGTTGGACATTTCCACAAAAGTTTTACCCTTCAACATAACACCTAAACGTTGAATGTAAAGGTTTTTGAGATGCAGTGTTAGCTTTCTACCGATTAAAAAACCAATAATGTGAACATGAGATACCATGTCACATTTATCATTGAGATCCAGAAAGATTTTTCCTTTGGGAAGGATATATGTACAACTTATATAAATGCATACCTCTAGAAGGGGTCAAAGTGCTTAAAGTGGGCATGATTCAACCACTGAAGTTAGCCAAGTCATGCAATTGAATTTCCAGGTCACCAGAATCCTAACACATGGAAAGCACATGCCAAGACAATGATAATTTGAGAGCCACCAAACATTTCAAGATATGAGTTGGTTAACGAGACCTCCGATTATTAATTAATTAATTAAGTTCAATTGCAGCAATTAATTAATTAGATTTGATGGGCTTTTACTTATATGTCTGTAGGGGCAAACAATAGAGAAAAGACGCCCTATTTTTTGAGGATTGTGATCATCAAAATTAACTGATAGTGGGTCCATGAGATGGAGGCTGTTAAATGATAACGACATGATCATAACTGCCCTCTATAATAGATTTCAGAGCACATGGAATGGAAACTTGTAGAATAGGACACCAAGGGTCTAATTATCGTAGCGCACTAAATTGTTAGGGTTACATATATATCATTGTTTTTTTTTTTTAAAAATAATTAATTATGATATTTACAAATATTAGTTTATAGATAAATTTTAATTTATTAAATAATAAATATTAATTATTCTATCATTTATTAACTAACAATTAGAGTATCATCTATTTTTAACAACTAAATACAACAAAATCAGTATTTTAGCAAAAAATTATAAAAAAAATTGCGTAGCCTTAACATTCTAATGTGTATCCATGTCCATGCCACCATCTAGTGTAGTGCTTGATTGATATAAAATGATTTATTGGCAACTTCTATTATTGACAACAATAAATTAGAGAGTAATAATATACAAATAATTTATTTGTATAATTTTTATTTATAAATTTCAAATGTCTTGTCAAATAAATAAATACATATAATATTATAAATTTTAATAAAGTGAAAAAATTGAATCATTAAATATCATATAAGACTATATGAAACATTAAATATCATATAAGACTATATGAAACATTAAATATCATATAAGACTATATGAAAAATTATACAATAAGTTGTGTCTTAATCATTTTCCATATTTCAACATAATGTAGTATTTATTGATTTCTTTTTCACAAACTCGTCAGTATGCATCAATTCATTTGATGTCAAGTAAATATTATGTGCATTTGTGAAAGCGGATGAGATCTTCATCAATGCACAAGGCAAAATGAAATAGATAACAACTCTGTTTCCAAGTACCATTCATCAAAAAAAAAAAAAGAAAGCACCATTTTTGTGTGATTCAGGTCTGCTTCAAGTTGCAGCATGTCACTCTCATCTCACATGTCACTCTCATCTCACCAGAGAAATCAGAAAAAAAGAGGAAAGTGAAAGATTAGAACAAATCTCAACCAGCGAAATGCTATTGTCTGAATTTTTGATACCATACTCAGAATTCAATATGTCGATGTAATTGATTCATGAAAAAGTACAGACATATGAAAACACTTATAGCAGACTCCTAGGTGGTGCTAGGAAAAGAATGTTCTCTCCTATGAGGAAAATTCCATATGTTCTCACTAAAAGAGTTGCCAAACTTGAAAATAACTGAGATTTTTATTTCAGTGCATTGGTGGGTTAATTGTTTGGCAATACAAAGTTTGACTTTCTAACCTAGACCCCAAATCAAGATTTTTAAATTAATAGGTACCGACTCAATCAAATTCTTGTTGGTAAATAACTGAGAATATGATTCTAAACTAAGTTCATATTGGGAATAGAAAAGAATGTCATCCCAATAAGCAAACTAACTACCAGGAACAAATGATATGAACCAATCTGACAATGCTTCGACATTCATTTGTTCTGCTCTAGCAGATAGATGATCCCTTCAGGCGGATTAGATAACATTGCCTTGGATTAAAATAACACTGGGGAAGGGTTCTTCAAGTTATCTAATTGAAACGACCTAAACCAAAATCCACCATTGGCTGTCAAAAACTCAAGCTTGAGTTTGTTAGCATGAGTAGTTATCAGTTGTTGGTCTTTACAATGAAATACCAATAACAGTCACACTCACACTTCTACCATCATGGAGGATCTGTGGTATCAAACTTATGATGACCTTTATTTTGAGTAGTGCCTATAACTTTAAGATAGAAATGCCAAGACGGATCTGACTCTGTTATAGCTGGTTGACCAAATGGGTTTTGCTTAACATAATTTTGAACACTCTCTGCTGCAGCTATTCCTTCAAGATATACCCGAATGTCCCCTCCAGACCCTGAGGAATTGCATTTAACAAGAAATTATGAACCCAAGGAAAGAAGGAAAAAGAAAGACATAATAGATGGGGAATGGAAAAAATAAATGGAGTTGTGAAAGCTAGCTACAATTAGAACATGTTCTCAATTAGGACAGAAAGCAATGGGGCATATGTTGGGATTCAAGCAGTAATATTTAAAGTTTCAAAAGTTAGTAATGTTTAAAGTTTCAAAATATCTGCACTAGATTTTGTAGCCCAATTGATAAGGAGGACATTCATCTATCCTTACTAGATGGATTAGAAACCTCCATTCCCAAATATAAAAAAGGAAAAAAAGTTGCAAATTATCATATTTGAAATAAAAAGTACAAACTCACCCACTCACTCAATTGTCTCAGCAGTAAGGATATAGGACTTTAGAACATATTTCACAACTTCTTATACTGATCATGCAAAGAGCAAAATTGAAGTAGAGGTTACATGGGTAACATCAAATGCATGCCTTTTTCATGAACAACATTTCTCAACAATGTGGCTTAGATACCTTGTTAAAGTCCATTACCAGTGTATTTGCATTCCACATACAATAACTTCAGTTGAGCATGTCTTACCTAAAGAAAAATCTTCAACGTTATTGTGGTCATAGGGATATGGAAATATAGCAGTGTGTACCTAGACAACAGAAAGTTCACAAAATGAGTAGATATAAGATTAGTGCATATTTCATATTACAACATAATCTATAGTATAAAAGTAGATATATATATAATACACCTTTAAATGAGTAACAAAGATTCAAAGGGTTCAGAGCTTACTGGATTACGCAAAGCCTTGTAAGGAGAATCATCCAATAATAATGTGTTTGATTCATTACACTCTCCCATCTCCCATGGGAAATTAGGATTCCACTTCTCCCACAATTTCCTTAGTTCCTTTAAAACAAGGGGTTTCCTTGGCTTGTCAATAGTTTTAAATCTTGTTTCAGTACAGTGTTTCTGATTCTACAAAAAGAGGCCATGTTGTAAAATTAATCAGTGACACACAAAGTTACGAAACAACTTATTTTGATTTTAAAGTACTCATCATAAGAATGTTGAGGGGACAAAGGAAACTAAAAGGAAGACTTTAGGACAATTTAAATAGATTGCATGTGGGTATATTGATGCTCCATTTTGCAGGAGTCCTTTGATTCTAGAACAGCGAATGGAGAGAGGTAGGCTGATAACTCCATTGATGTAAGTAGCATGAAGCACAGCCCGTACAGAGTACAAATTATGCCCCCAATTG